CTCTACCTAAATACACGCCGTGTTAGTAGTATGTGCGTGCATTGCAGTGAGCGCGTTCAGCATGTAAAGGTGGATGGCACAACGTTACTCCTTCATCTAGCTACAGAGTCACTTAACATACTGACGGTAGGCTATAGCAAACAACGAGCATATTGGGTCTCGTTGGCACTTCATATAGTCAATAAGTTAAGTAACTTATTGCTGGTAGACGATACACTATAGAATTTGCGGCGGTTCGAGCTTGCGTTCTGATTCCGCTATCGCTCTTTTCACGTAGACTTAGTCACTTACTGCTAAAGTCAAACGAATCCTCGCAATTTCGGGCCAATTTCTGTAACTTTTTGAAAGTGTTATGAGCGGCCGCCGGTTCTACGACCATGACGCTGCTGTGGAACGTCTTGGGCCGGCGATGGTAGGCCACAGCGGAGAGTTGAGGTTCGCCGAACAGATGGTCGATGTTGTGGTGCACCTGCGAGAGAAGGAATTGTCGCATCTTCATTCAGGTAATCTACATATTATTATGTGAGACAGGTAACAGTGTATATCGTGTTCATGGAAAGAGTACGTAATTTGGAATGTCATGCAGGATCACATTTCGTATACGGGAGAGGAAAAAGTGCGCGCCAAACCTTAAAAGCGCGCGTTGAAAGCGAGAGGAAAGACAGAGGTTGAATGAGAGGGACGTAGGCCTACCAGCGTGTCAGGCGCAAGGAACACACATTTGGAGTATTGGCGGCAATACTGCCAAGTGGCAAGTGCTGCTAGGGACTCGTCCATGACGGACATCCGCATGGCGTCGATCCGCTCCAGGCCGGTAATTGGTATCATGTCGTTGTACAGCTCCGACAGCAGGTCTCTGCGCATGCGCACACACCCACATTCAATGTCATCATACACGCATTCCGTTACTTGGTTAAACTCACCAGAGGTTATGATGATTGGACGTTTTGTTTTACCCGTAATAAACGCGTGCCGATTAGGGAGAATGAGGGACCGCATGTTATTGGTCCTTTTCTCACCTGAATTCCATAGAGACTTTGTTGGTAACCATGCAGACGAGTCTGCGGGTGACCTGAGCATGACGCAGCGAATGTCCGAGTACGAGCGCACCGATCGCCTCTCCGTCTGTCTCCGCCGCAGTCACGTAGGCTTCGTCTTCAAGCGCGGCTGCAAATATTACTGGTTCCCTTAACGTGAAGCATTATAAAAGGAATCTCGATCTGCATTGCTCCCTAGCGGTATTTGACGCTCACTCTGTAGATTGCATAGAATATCATACCTTGCTCGGGTTGGCGCGGAATTCGTCGTGTAGCCTTCTTCTGTTTACTTTTGCGTATATTTCCACAATTTTCAGCCTGCTGGTTAGTGGGTGGGACCGTATCGTTGATCTAAAACGGTAAATACGAATATCTGTACAAGACCGACATATTTTCACAGTAATATGAGAGCGAGTAAGAAAGATAGAGTTATAATTAAATGTTATGGATTCTCTAAAGACGTTTACCTTCACCGGACCATTTATGTCCGTAGCGGTGGTGACCTCCGTCTGAGTGTCTCCCTCCGCAATGGTGGTGACCTCAGTCTGAGCCTCTCCATCCTTAACGTTGATTACCTCCGTCTGAGCCTCTCCCTCCTTAACGTTGGTGATCTCGGTCTGAGCCTCTCCCTCCTTAACGTTGGTGACCTCGGTCTGAGCCTCTCCCTCCTTAACGTTGATGACCTCGGTCTGAGCCTCTCCCTCCTTAACGTTGGTGACCTCGGTCTGAGCCTCTCCCTCCTTAACGTTGGTGACCTCGGTCTGAGCCTCTCCCTCCTTGACGTTGGTGACCTCGGTCTGAGCCTCTCTATCCTTAACGTTGGTAACCTCGGTCTGAGCCTCTCCATCCTTAACGTTGGTGACCTCGGTCTGAGCCTCTCCATCCTTAACGTTGGTGACCTCGGTCTGAGCCTCTCCATCCTTAACGTTGGTGACCTCGGTCTGAGCCTCTCCATCCTT